CTGATGGAATTATCTAGGGTCTAATTCAGTTATATTATTTAAATTAACAAAAATAAATATTTGATAGATTTTAACTTTGCTGTTTATTTACTACAAAACAACCTTTTCTTTTCTCTATAAGCTTTTCAAACAGAGATGCCTATGATGTTCAAGTCTGAAATCAGAACATATCAAACAATCTTTTTATGGAGCAGTTGTAGCGCCCTTTTATACAATAGCTATTGGGTACCTGGTCATACAGAATTAGGAAGTTATTTATTTTGAGAAAATACTCGATAACAAAACATGTCCTATTTCCCTAAATTGACCTTAATCCAAATGTGCTAATGCAATATTGTTATGCCAGTCTGCATCACTTGTATTTAATTATCCTTTAAAATTGAAAGCATTTTCCATTAGATTACTTATGTATTTAGCTTGCTCCACTCAAATAGGTTCTTTTTCTGTTGAAACAAGTTCTTCTCAACTGAATGTTACTCATCTTGTTACTAATTGCTTTTCTTGTCTTTTCTTTTTCTTTTATTTTTTCCTTTCTTTCTTTCTTTTGGTAGGTTGCAGTCAACACTACAATAACAGCTGAGAAAGAATTTCTTGACCATATAATCAAATCCACCAACATGAAATGCCTAACTGCACCGTAAGTTTCTATATTCACCTGTGTTGTAATTTGCAGCCATGGACTAGGTTTAGTCACATGCATGATAATACACACACACACACACACTAATCAAGTATATATATGCTGTGATGCTATTTTTCAATATTAGAGAGTGGGACTTGGAGTTGGTATTCCACGGATTTATTGGTGTTTTCTTTGCTGGATCCAAAAAGGTCTTCCCGATTAAGAATGCATTGCAAATTCAGTATAGATGTATTGTTTAAAGGCTCTGCCTTATTAAGTAATAAAATAAATTCCTGGTAGCTTAGATTAATCTTTCATAGGTCTCCATGGTTGTCACTTTTTGGTTGTGCTTGTGGTATTACAGAATTCAGAGTCTCAATAGGCCGAAAATTATTTCAGATTCCAAGTGCTTGAATAATCTTACAGAAATGGAAATTTTCGAAGTCCAGCAATCTGAAATTGAGCTTTTGAAGAGCAAAGATACCTGTTGATGATATTCCAAATTAATATCACATGGCAAGAAAATGATCCCATGCAGCCCTTCCCTGGAAAGCATGTCAAATCTTATAGTATAATGTGTAACAAATAACTTTATTGAAAGTTTGTTTCGCTCAGATTTTTTTCAAGTGGAAAATGATTTTTTTGGGAAATGTATGGTTGAAAAGTGGGGAAGAGTTAAGGGTCCCATGGAATGTGTGGTTGAAAATGATTTAGAAAATATTTGCTAAACAAGCTTTAAATATTGCCCTTTTTTGGCCTCTATTTTCTAAAAGTCATTTTCCCTCAAACTCATTTTCAACTACACACTTCATGAGATCCATAACTTTTATCTACTTATCAATCACACACGTCGTCAACTTTTATCAAATTCTATTGATTTTAGCTAAATCAAACAGTGGCATAATGTGCTGGTCTAGCATCTGAGTGTGAGTTTTTCACCCTCCTATGGAAGCATATGTGAGAGAAGTGAATAGATAAGCTCTATTTTAGTTCTAAGAGGCAAGAAGTTGTGACCAGTTAAGTTATCAAGGAAAAAATTGTCATTCACTTTATGTGACACATTAATATCTTTGTGTGATCTTTTGTTGAAGTGGGATGAATCTTTACGGTTAAGGACCTATTGTAACTGCTAAGAAATGGTAAGTCGAGTTTGCTTAGCTTCTTGTGGATCAATGTTCTACCCTTTTCCACATCATTTACTAAAACAGTGATTGTAGAATGTTCTGTCCTCTCTCTTGCTCCAATTTAGAGGTATCAATGTCAAGTCTGCAATCTTTTTATTTTTCTTTGTAACCTGTTCAGATACTTAAGTTGCTATATTTATTCCTTTATTTTTTTTTTGCTTATTGTGCACTGCGGGTGGTAAGATGTGTAGTTTTTGCCTTATATTCTGCTTCCATGATTACCTTTAGGTCTGCTCTGGATGGTGAGTGCGGGTTCTTGGCTGCAAATTTGTATGCAAAGAGTGTGTTTGGGGAAGATGCTTTGTTGAATATTAGCATTGAGAAACTGGCAGATGGCAAACTGAATGGATTTATTAGGATAAGGAGCAAGACCCAGGGAATTGCTCTCAGCCTGGGTGATAAGATCACTCTCAAGCAGAAAGGAGGAAGCTAATCTTGCTATTTGGTAAATGATCATCGGTTTTTTAATTTTCTGACATTGATTATTAAGTTGGCTAAACTTAAAAGTAAAAATCATTTTTAAGTATATTTTTTATTTTTGTTTTCATACATGTTTGATTAAGTTACTTATTCCTTCCTTTCAAGTAAAAAAAAGGTTACATGGTAACTCTTACTTTACTGTCAAAAAAATTACTTAATTTCCAATTTTTACGAATAAAATAATATTTGTTTAAAACTTATTTACTTTATAACTTTTTAAGCTTAGCCAAACATGCTCTATTGCTTTGGTTAGTTTGTCATATGGTGAAAGGGGGTAAAATCACCCACAGTAATCTTTTCCCTATTTAAGTAACAGGGAGGCCTCCTATTTTCTCATTAAAATCCTACGCATTTCAAGATTTTGAACTATATTTCAAGCTTGTTGGCATTTTGTATATTATTTCCTAATATTCTCTCATTTACTTTAATCTGTTACAATCTGTAGGTTTTGCATGTGGAGAACTTGCTCGGAAGAAGATGGGGATGCATTGAGAAAACACGCAGCTTTCATTTTCACATTATTAAATTAGGTAGAGATTACACAAAGCGGGACTGGTTGAACTACAAAACCTTTTGTAGAGGATTTAAGGAAAAAAAACACTAGTGTTGTGATTTTGTTCAAATTATTTTAATAATTGTATTTTTGTTTTTTGTTTTTTAAATGTGACTAATAGTTAATAACTTTTGGGCTGTTGATTGAAGTTTTATTCATGCGTAGTTATTGAAATAATGTCATCTAGCACCAGTTTAGGTGGCTACACTTTATATGTTCAATTAAATGAGTCGCTTGATTTTGCATTTAAATGAATCTATCTTTTAATTTCATATAATAGTCACCTAGACAAGTACTTAACACCAGTGACGACGAATAACATTAATCAAAGTCATTGTTTAGTAGGAAAATGGACTATATTCCTAGCATATGCACAACCTTATCGCTGAGTACTTGACTGTTTTGTTGGCCTTTTACCCATTTTTTTGGTGATTTTGCTAGTGATACATAGGGGTGTACCTAATGGTGTATATTCTACTCACATGGGCGAGGGATCCATCCGGATAAAATATTCTTTCTTTCACGTGGGTTTCACACCCATGTGAGTGGAGTGTACATCATTCGGTACACTCCATTATGTACCACTAGACAAATTTTTTTTTTGGACGCTAATCCTCGAGAGGAAAATGTGATTGTTTTGCTAGTAATTTCGACTTAGCCAAATTTAAAAGCATTTGACGGAGTGCCCTTGTTCAGCTCAACATGGCCTAAGATGACCGTTTCCTGAAGGCAACATATCTGAAGAGGAAGGCTGTCTTCAATACCCTGAATTTTATGTGCGAATATTTAATTGAGAAATTATGATTTTATGATTGAAATTAATGAAATATGGGGTCATTGGTTGCTAGGAAATAATTTCACATTTTTCTGACTCTTGCATTCAAAGTACGCCTGGAGACAATGACAGTAGAATGTTTAAATTCGTGGAAGTTTGTTAAATTGTAGACCATGGTACAATAGCATTATGTGAACAAACTTCTTTTATATCAACATGCTAAATACCATTATTATTGCCCTACTGATTTTATAAAGAATCAAGAACGGATAGATCTTCCTAGTCTCTTCGTTACTTCTTGCCACTTGCGCGAAGTGAATTCTCTTCATTCGTTCTCACTTTAATTGTATTGTATCCGTGTCTCAAAGGCACAATTCTTATGCGGATAGGAAGAAATTGTTTATGAAAAGCGTAGAGTTTGCTTCTAGTTCCTTCTAATTCATCCAAGAGTTTTCATGTCTAGAGCGAAAAGTGTGTACGTTTTTGTTCAACTCCATCTACGTGACTGTATTGTGAGTATTGTAATAGATCAACAATGACGCTGGATACATAACTTTTTTAACGAAGTTATAGTATATTTTTTTTTTTTGAATTTTACCCTTCCTTCAAATGAGATTCGAATTGAGGTCACTAACATAATAATGTTTCACCTTTATCATTTTCAGCTAGACCTTGATTATAAGAGCGTTTCTTATGCAACAATTTGAATTGTTACAGCACACATCCTTTAATGAAGAAAAAATATAAAAAAAATTTATGTGGACAATGTCTAGCACACATTCCATTTTGTACATATTCCCTAAAAAATTAAGTGGATGATGTCTAGCACACATTCCAGTCTATGCTGGGTTAAGTGATAAATAAAATAAAAAATAAAAATAAATGATTTATTTAATTTTATTTATCATTTAATATCACATTAACGTCACATAAATTGGAGTTATAAATTATAATTTCAATGGAGATAAATATCATATTCTTTTCTTTATCGTGTAAATATTTTGGGATTATATGCCTTATTTTTTGGTACGATCCACGTTTACTTCTACCGAAGATGCCCTAATTCAATTGGACTTCTTAAACTAAGGGTCTTTATTTGACAATGACAATTGAAAAGAGCCTTTAGAGAAAAGTTCCCCATTCTAAAAGGTTGAACCCCAATCTTGAAAGTCCTTACCGTCCATTCCCTAAAACTTTGTGAGGGAGGTAAATTGGGGGATGTGTCTCAACAGATCAGGGAACAAGAATTGTATGCACACTATGCCTATAAGGAGTTCAATTTTATATTTCAGAAATCGAATCCTCACACTGCGACTATCAGCAAAGCGTGAAATAACCTTATTCCTGTCCTTTTAACTATGTCCGGAGGCAAAAAGTTTCCATTCTAGCATATATTGCTCTTAACCCATTTTCTCGTTTCTTTCCTCTATCACTGTCTCTCCTTCTCTCTGAACTTTCTCTTTCGAGTCGTATCAACTCACAGTCACAGAGTCTATCGATACTTTGCTTTCTCTTCTATTCACCTCGATCTTGGTTTATGAGGTAAATTCTATTCTATCCATCATTTCTTATTCTTTTAATGATCATTTTACTATTTAATAATTAATTGATTTGGCAAATATTCTTCCAGATCTGCCTTTTTTTTTTTTATAGACGCGTAATCAATAAGTCGATTCATGTTTTGTAGAACTCTTGAATTTTTTTTTTATTGTTTTGGTCTCTTACTGTTGATCTAAAAAAGTACCTTTCATCATATTTGTATTGTATTCTCACTCTCCCTTTTTTTTTTTTGGAAAATAATTCTCTTGTTGAGATCTAAACAGAAATAATACATTAAAGGAATGCATATTAATTCTTTATTTTGTTTTCTTGCAGCTCGAAGGAGAAACCTACTCTCGGGTAAGTATTAACTGTCATATGAAAGTATTTAGCCATAGTTACCGGCAATTTTGTGTAAAAGAATCAAGTGTATGACCTTGATCCTAATTTTCTTATGCTCATAAATTAAAATTTAATTTGTGATTTTGGATTTGTTTCAAGATTCTTGTTAATTGTAATGGGATTGTTTTAAGGTAATTTCGCAATACAAATTTAATTTTATGTAAATCATCTTGTGGCTATCCTAGGACATATGTTTGTATTTCTATTTCATTTTGATTTTTATTGGATTACATATTTTTTGTTTTTGATTTTCTGTTATATTCCGAAATTAATTTGGATGTAATTGCAGTGGCACGCGGATCAAGACCCGCAAACGGAACATTGCTGCACCGCTGGACCCTGCATCATTTTCGGATGCAGTGGTCCAGATTTATTTGGATAATGCTGGTGATCTGGTAATTTTTCATATCTTTGTTTTAGAGAAGTGTTTTTTCACCCATTTTGACCCTCATTTAATTGGGTGCGCCCATCCACTACGATTCGGGTGGGTACAGGATATACTAAGAGATGACTTATGGAAATGAGGTGTTATGCAGGAACTTGTAGCTAAGAGCCTTGAGTCTTCAGACCTTAATTTCTCAAGATATGGAGACACTTTCTTTGAGGTAAGCATGATTTTTTTTGTTTTGTTCAGTTTAATAATTTGATAGCTTGGAATGACTACCATATTTTTTTCTTGTTATTTAGCATTTATTATTTTTCCTTCCACATGACAAGCAAAAAAAAAAAAAAGAGTGCTGTTTTCGTTCTATATATGCACAGAAAGTTAGCTCGCCATGGACAGAAAAGAAGCTGGTTTTGTGCACCAAGTGGATAGAAATATTGTTGATGCTTGCTTTTATATGGCTCTAACTTGAATAAAAATACTATAATATGTGGCGAAAAGTTTTCAAAGGACGCGGCCAATTCCCTCCAATCTGGAGCAGAAATTCCAGACTTGACTAGCAGCCTTCCAAATTTTGTTCCAGATAGCAAAATTGCTTGATATATTGTATAACTTCAATTTTTTCTATGAATTGTTTACTTAAGGCATCAAATTCTTGAGCATTTTGGTTCTCCTTGAGCAAAATCTCCCGCTCTTCTTGCTTAAAATTACATTTTGGATTATTTTTTGTTTCTATGTTTTATACATTTTGTAATGCATATGCTGGATGATATGCCACACGTGGCAACTTTTTTGACTTCTATATTGCTAGAAAATATTGTTTTAGCATGGGTGTAAGAAACATGGTAATGACCCTCACCATTGTTTCAAAATGAGAATAATGTACCTTATTGATCTTTGATATTTCAGATCTGTAATACTGAATTCTTGTTCTTGCCTTTTTATTTCACGTGAGCCTGTGTAATTTTTGTAGATATACAGTACACATAATGTTGAAATGCTGGACATTGTTGATCTCAGGGACATATGTTTGTTCTTATTGGTTATGCTGTCTAGTGTATGCTAAAATGAATGTTAATTTCGTGCTGATTATAATGTGTATTATCTTATTTATTATGTGAGAATGCCTTGCTTTTCTGTTGTAGATTGAGCTAATTTATTGATTGATAACAGGTCGTCTTCAAGGGTGCTCGTACACAACCCGGCACAATTAAACTTGATGAAGGGGAGTGTCATCCTTACTCTATAATTGACTGTGAGCCTAAACGTGAAGTCATTTTGCCATCTGTAATATACATACAGAAGATCTTACGTAGAAGGCCTTTTCTTATAAAGAATCTTGAAAATGTTATGCAAAGATTCTTGCAATCGTTGGAACTTTTTGAGGAAAATGAAAGAAAGAAGCTTGCAATTTTCACTGCCCTTGCGTTTTCCCAGAAATTGTCTGGTCTTCCTCCAGAGACTGTGTTCCAGCCACTGCACAAAGATAACCTTATTGCCAAGGGGCTAGTTCTCTCATTCATCACTGATTTCTTCAAGGAATATCTGGTTGATAATAGCCTTGATGATTTGATTTCAATACTGAAACGAGGTAAAATGGAGGACAATCTTCTAGATTTCTTTCCTTCTTTAAAGAGGACACCTGAAGCTTTCTCCGAGCATTTCACGTAAGCATTTATTTTCCTGAATTGACATCGGTTGCAGTTAATGCAACTTTCTTTATGAATCAGCTATAGAAATCGTTGAAGTCATTGTATGCACAGAAGCCGCCCTTCGTAGGCTTAGCTCCTAAAAGCATTCAAAAGAGTGAGAAATATTAATTTTTCTTTTTTTCAGTATACTTGGAATATTAGTAGCATTTCTGTCAGAGGTTGATTTTGGCATCATTTTATATGGCAGCATTGATCCTTGACACTGTTCCAAACAATATTCCCTTGATATTCCCTTGACCCAATATAGTGAAGTATGAAGTAAAAGAGTCAAGTGTTTTCGTTTTCTTGCTTAATGTATATGTTGGCCTGTCACTATTTTGGTCGTTCATTTTGTCTCACATTACTTGAGAGTATTATTCAGTCATGTTTATATCTCTGCATTAGGATATATGGTGCCATATACTTACTGAATTGGTTGAAATTTGATAACAATACTGATATGCTGAAAAAAATACAGTATGGAAGCTGAATCTAATTGTCTTCAATTATCTTATGTCTAGTAAGGCAGGGCTTCTATCCTTGGTTGAATATAATCAGAAGAAAATATTTGAGGTGACTCTCAAGGAAATGAAATCTGCACTAACAAGTCAGATGGCAGAGGAAGCTGATATATCTGTTGTCATAGAAACTGTGAAGCAACATGTGAAAGATGCTAAATTTCCGGATGTTGAGGTTGTGCGGATTTTGTGGGATATCATGATGGATGCTGTACAGTGGTCTGGAAAGAACCAACAACAGAATGCTAATGCAGCTCTTCGTCAGGTATGGTTTAGGAGTTGTACATACACAATTAAGGTTTTTTAACACATCGTACAATACTTGATATTAGTTGCAATATTTATCAGTCAATAATATTAGTTCTTGATTGTCAATGCTTGCTTGATAGCGAAATTATTTAAATGAAACTTTGGGGTGGGCCAGTTATAGTACCTGAAATTTCAAAACTTCTAGTATTTGGATATCTGATGTTGAAACTAAAAAAAAGTGCTTACAATTGAAAGCAGTGTTGCTTTGATGACCATTAATTGGTAGTATCTATTCTTAAGATGAACTCATATCATCATTTCTCAAATGGTGAACAGTATGAATATCTCGATCTTTCTTTATAGTTATGTCTTATCTTTTGCCTAATTTGATCAGCGCTGCTGAAGTATTTTTTGGTTTAAACGTAATTGAGTAGGTGAATCACTGTTGAAGAACTGGTTGATTAAATATTGTAAATTTCTTTTTTAAATTAGGTAAAAACATGGTCAAAATTGTTGAATGCCTTCTGCTCCACTGGAAAGCTTGAGCTGGAACTTATGTACAAAATTCAGGTCCAGTGCTATGAAGATGCCAAACTGATGAAACTATTTCCTGAAATCATAAAATCACTTTATGACCAGGATGTGCTGGCAGAAAACACCATTCTTCACTGGTTCCGTAAAGGAACAAACCCTAAGGGCAGGTATGCAACCTGTTATACTATTGTGCTAATTGTACCCATTTGATCTTGAATACGATTTTATTGTGGAAGTCATGCTGCTATTTATCTAGCAAAGCCACTCATTCTATTATTTTGTGGTAATTTCTTTGGCGCAACTGGAAATTCCTCAAAGATACTTAGTTCTTTTCTACAGCCTTTTTCTTCATTCCCTTTTACGGGAAGCAGATAGTATACTGCTAATAGAATCAGGTTGATCTCTGGTAGCTGCTGATTCTTACTTTAGCTATAGTATGACACAAAGGATTCTATGCTGAAGATAGAAGTGAATAGTTGGTGGATGAAGATTATATATAAAATTTCATATTTCATTTTTCCTTTTTAAATCAAAGGAATACCATTTTTTTACTGATACTTAACAAATTCTCTCTATTTGTCTTTGACATCCCCATGTATCTATCCTCTGCACTAACACTCCCCATCCCCAGCCAAAAATATAAAAGAAATGAAAATTTGAAATTTCAAAATTTAATCAAAAACAAAAAACGAATGAAGAAAAATGAAAATTGAACCCAAGAAGGCTTTGTCCCTTGCTTTTTCAATGAAATTGAACGTGCTTTGAATTGATGGTAATGCTGATCTTAATTTCTGGCCTTGAGCATATGAGAATGCAAGGGTCTTTTTGCATCATAAACAGGCTAAACAGCAGAAGTGATGAAGTTAGAGCTCATCATCTACTGTCACCTTTTATATGTACTTCTCTATACCCGCCATTCTTTTTATGATTATTGTTATTGATTTTTGCCCTTTTTGTTGCTTCTGCAGGCAAACCTTTGTGAAGGGATTAGAGCCCTTTGTGAAATGGCTGGAGGAGGCCGAGGAAGAGGATTAAGTTTCTATTGACATTCTGAGCTATTACTGTTTGCTGTTACTTTCTTGGATATGGCACCACTGGATATTGCCACTTGCTGTAAGAAGGCTAAATAATCTACGATTTGAATGGTTTGTTATGGTTACAATTGATGAATTGTGTAATATGTTCCCTCCCTCCCTAGTAGTAAATGACCGAAGTTTGAATTAATCATGTCAAGTAATACGACTGTTCATTTCGTTGGCATGAGACGAATTGCACCATCAATAACCAGTATACTTTTGTTGATTTGTGCTCTATTTTCTATGCCTTTTACAAATGTATTTGCAAGTACCTATATTTTCTGGGCGTTACTCGTTCATGTTTTTGGGCTACAAGGTCTAATGTGCATCAGAGAAGCAAGATAAATTGTTTTCTTTTGTGCACACAGTATATGCAATTTGCTAAGTTCTTCATGCATGTAAAATAAGTTGTGGATGGTATCATGATCGCATAAATGGATTTTGGAAAAGGAGATGATTATGATCCATTTGGAGTCAAAAGAGATGTCCCATTGAATTGGTTGGTTTATTCTCATGTGGCTTCATTTCATTGCTATATTGATATATTTGGTATGTCGAATAGTTCCTAAAAATTTAGAAGTCCTTGGTAGGTAGCCTATTCATGGTTTCCTATTACTGGCATGTTAACTTGATGGAGTTTTAATTTTTCAAGATTATTTGTGTTAGTGTTATGATGTAAAATTTGTAGCATGTGCCATCAAATTTAGGTCTGAAATTGATACCCGGAAAGCAAATAATTGAAATGAATTTTTTGAATATTCACCCTTCATTATTTCCCCATAACTAATATCAAATATTCATAGACGCTGAGATTTATAGATACAGTAAGACTTCTTTATAGTGACATTCTATATAGGATTAACTTTTATATAGTTATAAAAAAATCTTATTCCAACTTGAATCCGTTATAAATAAGAATAAACATAGTATT